AGCTGGCTCAGTCTCAGGGGAGAGGACAGGAGGGGGGCCCATGCCCCCCCCATCTCAGCCTCTGAAGTTGTAAGGTCTGGCTTTGGGATGAGCCTCCTCTGTTATAGCTCAGTGGGAATAGGGTCTGCCTCACCTGAAGGCTTTGGGGGTCTCCCTGCATTTTCTGGTGACCCCAACTTATCAGGATTCTCTTCCAGGACAAAGCTCCCCAGACCCATGAGGTCCCAATGGACACAGGCTGAAGTTTTCGCCAGCCCATGGAGAAAGGAGAAAAGTCAGGGCAACAGTGAGTGAGCTTGTTTTTCTCAAGAGGGCTAAATTTTTTCAGTTTAAGGTATTAGCCTTTAGTCAGAGATTATGAACTTTCAGTTTTATTGGTGTGAAAACAGCCTTTCTTTACTGAAATGATGGTGAGAATTTATTTATTTATTTTTTAATGTTCTTATTTGGCAAAAGAAAAACTTGGCAATTCTCTGTTCACTCTCCCACCCCCAAATTTCTTTGGACATTTTACAGCACTCTGAAATCCTAAAGCCTGGGAACCACTGCCCTACAGGATCGTGGCTCCAACCTCTTGCCCTGCTGGGTGGAACCAGGGAGGGGGCAGGTGAGTAGGAAGAATAGATGTGTGAAGAGGGTAAGGGAGGGAGAGACAGGCTGATTCTCAGATATCCACAGCCATACTGAAATCAGCCTGAAGGCCTGAGTACCTAGTCCAAACTCAGCCTGTGGACAGGGGAGGGGCAGAGGAGGCCACTCTAGCTGCTTAAGAAGCTGAGAAATTATTAGAGCCAAGTTGTTGGATTAGTCTCTACAAACCACGGGCAGAAGGAGCTCAGATATTGTGAGATCAGTGGGGCTGGAGTGGTCAGGTTGGCTTCCTGGAGGAGGTGGACTTCATCTGGGCCTGGAGAGATAGAGAGGAAAAGGAGCTCGGGCTTCTCCCCAAAAGGCAGATGCAGGCCCTGCAGCAGCCCATTCCTTGTCTGGATAGCACTGATTCTGTCATCACCATCCACACAGTGACTTCATATTACTGAGCGATTGCTATGTACCAAGCATATCAAGAGCTTCACACACATTATTATCTCATTTAATCATCCCACCAATCCTATGACATAGGGGCTATTATGCTCATTTATGAATGAGGAAACTAAAGCTCAGAAGTTGAATAAATCACCCGAGAGCTCACAGCTTAGAAGTGAGGTTATCAGAAATCCAAAGCCGGGCAGTCTAACTCCTGAACCCCACAACCTTTTGTACCCTAACTAGTGTTCCATTGTGACCTCTGTAATTTCAGCGGAGTCCTTATCTACTTTGTGGTCTTTGCAGACAAATGCTGATGAGTGACCTGTCACTAATAGAGTTCTTTCTGGGTGACTCATGCTGCATGGAGGGGCCACCAGAAGGATTGGGGAATCTCAGTGGCTGGTCTGTATAGGGTGGCTCAAGCTGTTTGTTGGGCGAGAGGGTCCAGAGTGTCTCCCTTGGATCAGAGCAACCTCAGTCTGTACCATCTCATCCCTGGCCCACTGCCTGCTCTGGGCACAGACTCAGATTCCATAACCAGACAATAGGCCCTGAGGTTCTTCCATGAGAAGGTGAGTAAGATCTGCTATAGCTGCTCCCTGGATGTGACCAGGGGAGTTTTGGGACCAGGGCCATCTGCAGGGAGGCCCCAGAGTCTTTTGGACTTAGGAAGCCCAGGTCAG